ATATATATATATATGTATACTGTTTATTTATCGCACGCCCTAGTAACAGTCACCACAAAAAGACGCACGACACAAAGCACCAGCAACCCCGCAATTCTCTGGTGCTAAATTTTGTGCTCATGATTGTGCTTTTCTGGTGCTAAACTTTGTGCTCATGAATGTTATTTTTCTGGTGCTGAACTTTGTGCTCATAATTGGGCTTTTTACTGGTGCTATATTTTTGTGCTCACGATTGTGCTTTCTCAGGTGCTAAATTTTGTGCTCATGATTGTGCTTTTTTTGGTGCTAAATGTTGTGCTCATGATTATGCTTTTTCTGGTGCTAAATGTTGTGCTCATGATTGTGCTTTTCTGGTGCTACATTTAGCGCTTATGATTGTGCTTGTTACCCGCGTCATGAACTCATACTTGCAGTCTTGATGTTCGACAAGTTCTGTGCTCATGATTGTGTTTTTTCTGGTGCTAAGGTTTGCGAAAGATTCAATCCACTAGGCCTTCAAATCCTGGTGCTCCTGTCTTGCAGCAGAATCGTGATTTGCTATGCAAAGTCACTGACGATGCCAAGCGGGAGCCAAAAACATATATAGTAAAGCAGAGTAAATTTCGATATACTACAATTTGCTACAACTTGTTAAACAAGAGTGTGAAAAGACCTCCCTCCCTCCCTCCCTCCCTCCCTCCCCTTTAGAGCCACGCTGCCTGGTCAGAGGGGTTAGCGCGAGAGTGTTTGGTTTGAGAGAGTTTACGAATTCAGGGTTTAGGGTTTAAGGCCTCCCTCCCTCCCCTCCCGACCTCCCCTCCCTCTCCCTCCACCCGTCTCTCCCTCCTTCCAAGCCGCCGCAGTCCGTTGCAGTGCCAGTCGTGAGCCCTGACCGCTGCTTAGATGCTCGTTCTCTCCGTGGCTCCAATGTGCCTGACCTTCGCGCCAGGATCTCGGTTGAAGAGGTATATGAGTCTGGGTTGAAGAAAGGGAATATAGGGCAGTTGGATTCATTCGAGAGTTTCCCCGACTCCTGGGCCTCAGCTTTCTTCATTGTCGAGACCTTTGTCTATATAAGTCGGCAGCAGGACTTCAGTTAATTGCGCGGATGGTTCAGCAGCTACGAAAGGTTCTGTCGCCGAAAATGGCCGGCATCCTCGCCAAAGTATGTAGAGCACTTCCGTCCGATGTCGCAACACTCGCGTAAACCATCTCTTTGCAAATGCCGCACTCCACGAGACAATGCCATGGGAGCTGATTTCATCACATGATCTGCTCATAGTCATAGTTGCACGAGTATTTATGATTTTTAGTGGCTTCTGAAGTCACAAGGATGTCCAGAATACTCAGACTGCCTCAGCACATATCCGCCGCACAATCGCCCGGATGATCCAACAAGCGCAAGCCAACACTCAAGGCTTGGTGGCGCACTGTCGGTAGCTCACTTCTCGGCCAAAGTCAGCGAGGCCCATTTGCACAGAGTCTCACTGGGATTTTGAGTTTGCTCGCCAGCTCTGGAGGTCCAGGTGTCCGCAGTTTTAAACAAGTGCTGCGTAAGCTGCGCAGCTCGGTGACCTGCAGGTGCACGCTGTGGAGTTTGAGCGCGCAGGGCAAAACCGATGGTTCCTACGTCTTCTGCAGGCACGATGGAAAGTCGAGTCTGGCAGGGTGCAGCAGATGAGACGTGCTCAAAGCCTTTGCTCACATTTAGCGGCGTGGTACTTCAAAGCCCTCTAAGTGCGGAGCAATCAGAGCGAGAACAAGCGTCTCTAGAATTCGCGAGCGACGACACCTTGCGATCCTGCTTCAAACTCTCCACATCCCACAAAGTCAGAAGACGACCTGGAGAGACGCCCCAATGGCCGCGGAGGTCTGCAGCGCAGTGACCGGCATGTCCAGCTTCGTCCTGTTCCTTCGGCTCTGCTTGGATCAAAAGGCACCGCGGGGCCTGCCGATGAGCATTCATTGCAAACACCAACGAAGAAGTGTGAGTCGATGTCATGATGCAGGAGCGAGTCGTGAAGTGAGCACGGGGACAGCGGCAAGGAGAATTAGCACGAGAACCTAATTCGTGCTCAGGTGACAGCCCTTGCACAGGGGTCAGGGTTCAGGGTTTGAAGGCTTCAAGTGCAAATGTTGCAGTATGCCAGACGGATGGGACGAGGTGGAACCCAGTTGTCTCAAGTTGACTGTTGTGTCTGCATAGGCGGCGCTACAGAAGCAGAGGCATCTTACCATGCGCAAGCTCAAATTCGCATTGCCATTGGCTGCCATTGCATTGTAATACACCCTTGCCGGTCGCATGACATCAAGCAGCATGAACGGAATTATGGAGGTGATATTGTCGTTTTCACTCGAGCTTCTCGACGGCTGCAGAACATGCGTCTCTCAACGATGCAGACGAACCAGTTGCTTGCTGTACACCAGAGCCGTAGAAGAATCTGCGTGAAAGGCCTTGCAAGCTTCACGAACCAGATCCTCCCATATCTGTTCCTCCAACATACTCGGAGTTGCAGCGTTGCTGCTTTTGCTGGAGACGACATCAGGATCTGGGGCAGATTGTTCCGATTCCTTGTTCCATGTCAGGCTGAGGAGGCCGAACAAATCCGAAAAACGCCGCCAAATAAGCAAGTCGAGCCATGCGGCTTCACAGGCAACCCCTCACCATAACTGTTCGTAACTAGCAGTAAGTAGCTGAGACACTTGCTTCCCTTGATGAGGCAGAGACTACTTTCAGGCTGACGTGGGCAGCATATGGTTCTGCTTGAAACCCTCAGCTCTCAGCTCAGGGCCTGGTTCGTGCCAATTCGGAACAACACTCCAATTTCTGTGGGTCCATAAACTATGATGCCTGTGAAGCTCCGCCAGTCCCAAGTAGCGCCTGAGAAGCCCAGCTCGACACCTTCTGCGGCCTGTCGAGCCGCCTGGCAGTGGGGTCCCTTTCGCACCTCCAACGAAAAAAGAGTTGAATGGAACATTGGGCCTCCCGGATAGGGCCTGGACCTGACATAGTGTCCGTGACTTCGGGACATCGGGACAGAATTGGCTTTACCCATGTAAGCACTGCTTGCCAGATTCATGCAAGGGACCCCATGGAGCACGCGGAACGATCGCGCGCTGGAAAAAGGCGTTGCTCAGAACCAGCAGGCAGGTAGCGCGAAGCTGCTCCGAATCCTTCTGCGAACTTTAGCATTCCTAGCAGGCCAAGGGTGAAGCAAAAGCTCCAAACGACCACATCCTCACAAAATGCTGTGCTCTCAGGGCCCAGTCGAGCATTGAGATGTCACCTGCCGCGCCACAAGACGGGGAGCTCGTAGATTGGGGCCTGCCAGAGCCTCAATCGTCGTCAAGGGACCCTCATGGGCCGGCACTTAATCACTCTTCTTGCCCCAGGCTCCAGCCGATTCAAAAGAGTGATGATGAGGAGGAGGAGCCGTCAACGTTTGTAGGGGTAACACGGGCTTGGCTCCAGGATCGTGTGCGTTGGGATCAGCAAAGTCAAGGACGGCAACACTAACTCAGGTCTGAATGCAAGTAAGACTAGTCAGCAAGGATAGCGCAAGGAGACTATGACCAGCAAGTATCAGGATTTGATTAGAAGGGCTTGGCCGAACTCCTCTTCGAGTGCCGTTTCTTGCCATGTGGAACCTTCATCCTCCTTAATTCGGAGTCAAGCAGTTCAACAGCACAGCTCTTGGGTAGAGTACCATTTCTATTGTTGCACAGGGGTATTGCATCGAAAGCCTCACGGCTCGTGGACTACATTATGCGAGTGACTGGCAACCGTTTCCGTACCCTGCACGTTTTCTTCAGCTGCGCGAACCCGATTGCAAAGAGGTGCTTCCAAAGCAGAAGAGCAAAGAGTTCGAGAAGGCCGAGAAGAACGAGAAGAATCCGCCGAAGTCGAAGAAGGGCCGAAGGCGACTGGGCAGGGCCAGGTTCTGGTGAAGTCAAGTTGATAGCGAAAGGCTTCATCTATCGAAGGAGGAAAAATCGGACAAGGTCCCGGTTTACCGGGCTCGGCCTGATGTCATGGGTTTGGAATGCTTGGCTATATGCTTTCCCCGCTGCTCCTCCGTACAACTAGCTGCTAAGGGGATGTGACAGCAAACCCCGCACAATTTCGACAGAAAGCGGTCTTGATGATATGTCCATCCCAACATGAGGAAGTGAACTCTAAGTCCGAAGATCGCAGGGCAACTGAAGCTGCAAAGCCCGGCAGGGATGGCCAGAAGCTCGACATGAAGAAGCTCCTGCTGACAGAGGCTTCGCACCGGGTTCGAACCTGCACCTCCGTTCCACAGGAGTTCAAGTTTCCTTTCATATGGAGCTTTAGGGGAAGTGCATGTCCAATGGGCTTTCACGAGAGTGAGCAGACCTCAAGACGAAGCATACTTCGCAAGTCTGCAAGAGGGTGGGGGCTGATCTTTATTGCATGGAACGCTGCGACATTTGTGGGTGCGTGGGACGCGGTTACTGCTTGTTGATGACGTTGTGACATGTTGAGTACTGAGAGTGAGGTCCTGCGAAGCCACTTGCTAATTTTGGTCGGTGTGCTGGAGCTTTATCCTCCTACGGATTTGGGGCTCAGTGCTGCTGCGGAACCGGGAGACCTGGAAGAGAGACGGACAGAGACTGAGGGAGGGAGATGGGAAAAATTAAGCTTTGTAGACATCTGGAGACCCCGTGAAGGAGGAGGGAGAGGGCAGGGCAAGACGGTAACTCGCCCCAATGGTATGTCTTGTCCGGACAGGGAACCCAGGCGGAGCCAGCACGGGCCTGAAATCTTCACCGACTGAGGTTTTCGGTTCCGCGTAGCGCAGCAAGGCCCAAGGTGCAAGGTTCCACTGCATTCCAAGCCACGCCTATCAGTTTGCCGCATCCGCCAGGAGTCTATGTTATTTTGTGTGTGGGGTGGTTTTCGACGATTCGATGCGATGCAAGGAGATGCAAGGAGGCTGTGAAACGATTCCGTGAAAGTCCGAGGCGAAGTCCGTGACCCAGGAGAGCGAAGCAAGCTCGCAGACACCTTGGCATCCTCGCCTTTTGCTCTCTTCTTCGTGCCGAGTTGAGGTAGGGCCGGATTTGTTCAGGCTGTGCTCGGGCCTCCCTTTAAAGGCCTACTAGCAGTCACTAGCACTAGCAGTCGGGCAGTCTTCCAGCGTTGCAGTGGCTTGGGGTCTTCAAGAGCACTCGAAAGCCTGCGCACCATGTTTTGTGAACGCGTCGTGTTGACGAGAATAAGTTCCTGTGAACAAGCCGATGTGGAACTTTGTCCGTTTCGGGACCCAGAAGTAAGAAGTCCAAGATGGAGCATGCAAAGCATCGCTAAGATTCGCAGCGCAGCCGGCACAGACAATCGCAGCAGTGCCTGCACCAGGCCAGGTGGTGGCTTTAGTGCAACTATTGAGGCTTTGTGGCAAGGTTGCTCTTGCAGGCAGCAGAAATGGGAGTCGAATATGGCTCGCTGTCAGGCGGTATAGTCACAAGCACGGCACAGCCATTGCAGCCTCACCGGTCACGTGTCTGCGACGAGCACCGGAAGCTAGTGCGTTTCTGTTGTTACCTTCAGAGGTGCATGGCAGCGTTCAGGCGACAAGCGCTTGATACCACCAGCTGTTTGCTTGCAAGTTTTCTGCAATAGGACAATCAAACAGTCACGGCAGCTCGGACCAACACCCAAAAGCATTTGTCATACTAGATCGAAACGAAACTGCAAAAAGCCAACTCACGAGGCCCGCATGCTTTCGTGCAAGATTCCTGGGCAAGTCAACCTGCGGTCTTCCAGTTTCAAACTCCAGTTTCCCTATGCATCGCTCTCCTCGCCATGCACAGGCTCCGCAGACTACAACGAGGCCCGCGTTGAGTTCATCAGGGCTCTGCTGTTGGACAACCCGTCGGGGCTATTCCTCCAGAGTGGGCTTTCCTCCACGCCTCAAGTTCCGAGTCTCCCGCAAGTTGCAGGCGGTGCAGAACCTGCTGGGTGTCCTGGGTTCCCACGTATCCAAGGAGCAGGCCATGCCTAAGCCGTGGGATTGTGCTGCTTCGGACATCTTTGGAACCTTCTGTCCAGGGTTTGCGAAGCTCAAGAGCCGGGGAGCCTTTCTGCGGTCAGCACGGCACGTTCGGGCCATGCTCAGGTCATGGTAGTTGTCCTTCAAGTCGAGAGGAGGTTTGATTTGTGCTGCGTGCAAACAGCCGTCGGAGGTCGAGTACAGCTTGTCGCGCTACATCGAGCAAGGCACGGACAACCCAGCACAATTCATCCTGGAAGCCACGATGATAGTACATACGGTTCTGTATGAGTCACAAGATATTCCATTTGAGGCAGGTCCGAAGTGCATCATAAAGGCCTATGTTTGCGGTTCCCTCCGCAGTGAAGTTCCCGTTCCCAATCTGCTTGGTGTCCCGAGAAGTGCGCTTTGTTTTGGCTAGTCTTAGGCCGGTCTTGGCCCCAGCCAGCCAAAAATGGAACTAGATAAAAGAGTTTATCATAGCCCTGCATAGGTGCAGACACTCGAAGTGAAGTAATGTTGAGAGCCTGACTCATTTGAAGGCTCCGGGGGCCTCAGAGCCTGTGATTGCTGAAATGTGAGTTCCCGCAACGAGGCATGGACTTGACGCAGGCGGCGGACCAGGCCTTTACGGACCTTGTCGAAGGCCAGGCTGAAGATGGTTCGCTCCGAGAGCATAGATTCGGGAGGTGTTGCAGCCGCCGCCAGCGGTCGTGTCGAAACCCTGTCGTTCGTGCTTCGTTGCCTCCCGCTGATTGAACGCTGTACTCGTACGTTTGTGGAGGTTGCGAGTGGGGGGTCGAGCATCCATACACTCCATCGACCATCAGAGTCGGATGGTCTCGTTTGCGTCAAGCTTACACATCGCGCGTATGGTGCAGACAAGCTCAGAGATGGGCAGAGCTTGCTCGATCAGCTGCCCTGGGCAGGGCAGCCACCTGGATCACAGGAACCAGCGCAGCGACTCACTCAGCTTCGAGGCGACCGAGGCTACCTTCATGACCTTCATGATATTATGAGCGAAACTCAAAAAGGATCTCGCTAAAGTCCTAGCACTCGGGATATGGAGTCAGCACGCTCCACTAACAAGCAGGCTGGGGGTTCGTGCAGAACATACGCGCTGTTGACGACCATAGCTTGTAGCTGCTCCTTTCGGGGTCTTGATAGAAAGGACCGTGAAGCAGTGTCCGTCTCCCGCCAAGGCTCAACCACGCTGAGGCCAGAACATGGGCAGAGCGATTAGCTTCATCCGCTTCCCGTAGCTCAATCTGCTGTGCACCATTGATTACGCAGAGTGTAACATCATGCGAATCTGTAGAGTTCTTGAACGATATAGAATATGAACATGAGCAAGTGAGCAGACCAGATTATCGGATGGCACTGGCGACCTTCACCTACACAACTGCTTTGCACTTTGCGCCCAAGGGCTTCAGCCCATCAACCGGCCTTGCCCAATGCTTTTGGTGTTCTTGCTGCTGGAGTCACTGGTGGATCCGCCAGTCATGCAGATGTATGCAATCAGGGAGATGTAGCATAGCCACCGCAGGCAACTTGCGATCAGCAGCCATGTCTTGTGGCTTGGATCTCACACTTCAAAAGCCGTCCGATGCCCTATGCGACTTCCCCAGATCTGCGTAGTCATAGCCTACCCATGTGTTTTTGCAGGATCCCCCTAGTTTTAGGTTAAGGTAGGCTCCCGGAATCCAGGGCTGCAGAGCGCAGGCGGATGCCGCAGTCGACGAGGGTTCTGAGGACGGGACGTGGGGTTCTTCTGTTCGAACCGGAGCTTCTCTTGAAGCTACGGGTGTATGAAAGAGAAGTACTGGGGGGCCCCACATCGCAGCGAATCCGACGCAATAGAGGAGGAAGACGAGCAGTTGCCCGAGCTCGACCTCCCCGTCTGGCCCCTAGCATGTGTCAGGGTGGCGGCTCAGTCTGAAGCACTCAGGGATATATGATCGCAAAATTGGAAATGTGGGATATCAGTTGAAGTCGGAGTGGGGAGTCCGGATTTCGAGGAGGTGATCTGCGCGTTTGGTTGTGTGTTCGTGTCGAGCTTTGTCGCCGTCTCGATTTCTGAACTGTTCATACCAGAGTTCCTCCCGATCCCGCCTCCCGAAACTGCATCAACCGAGGAGCTCATCCCACAAGAAAGGCGACCACCGATCCCGGCGACTCCCAAGGGCTGGAAGGCACTCTAGCCTAGATGCCTTTGATGGGCGGTTCGGGACCTAGGCATCTGGCTGTTTAGATTGTTCATCTGGGTTGGATGCATGACCCTAGAGACCCCGACATACTGGACCTAGATTTAAGAGGTTTAAACAACCCCGTACTCGCAAAAGTACGGATTGCTGTAAGTAGAACTACTCAATGCTTGTGAGCTTGTGTGCTTCCAACTACTGTACATCAGGACGAGGTTCTTGTCTCGGTGCCAATGTCGGAGACTAGCTGGCTGCACGTATGTCCCACTATGTCGGGATATGTGGGTATACTCGGGTCCCGTATGTTCTGACACTCCTATACAATACATCTTCCGGCATTGAGGCGAACGTTACAGCAGTAAATGCATTACAGCTGAGACGTTGGATGACAGATGTGTGCTCCGGAAAGCCTTTATCCCGGCTCGCGAGGAAGAGGGATTTAAGGCCAAGCGTTGCCTAGCCAGCGTAGCATCTTCCAACGGAGTGGGATACCAATATATAGCAGATATAGCATCATGCAACACCCACCTAGATTCAATCCTGGGGCTGCGTCGCCGCAAGTGGCTGGTGACTGCTCCATTTGCACCTGTTACCGAGTATGTCACAGCTGTAGGCTTGTTCAAAGATTCAGCCGCAGCCATGACGGAACGCGACCCCTACGGTGTCCTGCTTCTGATGTGGTTTTTTGAACGTGCAGATTCGCTATGAGGGAAAAGACAGCATGAGCCGAGGTCTAAAGCCCGGGAAGCAAGGCAGAGCGGGAGGTCACAGCCACGGCAGAGGAAAGCTTGCGCAGCCCCCACGGCCAGAATCACAGAACGTGCCCAGATTCCTGAGCTTAGGGCGTCGAACTTTCACATTCATCTCATACCTGACGGTTCCATCTGATCACATTGACATGATGATTGCTTTCCATCTTCTGTATGTCGCCTGACAATCTTCGGGCTACAGCCGTTGTTGTGTTACAAAAACTGCCATGCCCTGCATGCCTTCCCTGAGGCCCATCAACTTCAGGCGGCGCTGGGACCATGGAAAAGACCTCGACGATCCAGTCTACCCAACAATGAAGACCCATGGCAATGCCAAAAAAAGACTTGCGGGCCTTCTCCCGCAAGCTTGTCATCAGCCCAATGCACTCGGACTAGCCGTCAGGTTACTGGTTCTGGCCCCTGCATGTTGCTTAGTGGTTTGACTTCCGCGATTTGACACACCCGGCTGACAGCAAGGATTCCAGCAGCTTTGATGCCACTGTTCCCCCAGGACTGCTTGCTTGGCGAGTTTCGCTGCACCTTTTGAGAGCAATCTTTTCTACAGCTCAAGAGCACTTATCGTTGAGCGCGTCCATGCCTTGTTCTAGACCCTTAAACCCCTGCTCAGAGCGCAGCGTCGAAGGGCAGTCTGCCCCACTTGGATCCACCAGCTGCCTCAAGCCATGCAAAAAAAGGACTGGCGATCTGCTGGACGAGCTCTCCTTTGTTTGGGCATGGCTGCCGGGTTGCAATCACAGAAATCAGCTCAAGGCCCAAGGCCACATTTTTTCCAGAGCCGAGGCCATGCTTGAGGGGATCCGCTTGCGGTCCAAGGGTGCCACCCTGAAGTGGCAGAAGGTCACGGAATCTAAACCGGCCACTGTAGCTTGGGCTTGGACGCACTGGCAGTGCTTCAATCCATGAGCGAGTTACGAGCTTTGGTAGGCGACCTTGGGGCCATCAAGTTTCAGAGCTTGGGCTTCTCTGGCTTTCGCCCGGAGCCCGGCTGAGATGATGCGAACCCTGGAGGCTGGCTACTGCAGCGCCCTGTGCCAAGAGCAGTGCGCGAAGTCCCCCAACCGCATCTTCTGCGCCTTGGACTGGCGGTCGAGATGTTGCTGATCTGATGCTGCGTTTATATTTGAAAGACGGGCTGCCACCGACGCACTGAGGTGCCTGGAGGGTCCAAAACACCGTCCACGACCATCACAATCGCTTGGATGGAGCTCTCTTGAGCCACCCGGTCTGCCTGACTGTCTCTTCTTTGTGATCACTCGGTCATACTTGGGTCAGGAGTCACAAAGCAACACCTCAGGCAACTGTCCTAGTGATAACTTGATGCTTGTATCGCTTTAATCCCTAGTCCCCGTTGGAGTATTCTTATTGTTTAGTGGTTGTTTTCGAAATGTTTAATAAAGTAAATGTGGAGATGATGTTGCATTCCTGCATTGCCCGTGTGCTTTGGTGTGTTGTTGTCGGTTGTGGCTGCTGTTAGAGCAGCGGTTGCCGCTGCTGCTGCTACTGCTGCTGCTGGCGGCTGTGGTTGCGGTGGCATTTGCGGTTTCGGTTGGTTTCCTTGAGCTAGTTAGCGCGCGAGCCAGTTTGTATTTGTTGTTGTGTTTGTTTGATGACTTACTTGTTCGTTGATCGTTTGTAAGCGTGGCATGGTTCGGGCTCGGCGAACCTGGTGACCCAGGCTACAAGGGCGTGGTACATTACGATGACCCCAAGAAGCCCATCTACCGCATCCTCAACCAGGTGGCCCTGAAAAACAGGTACAAGTCCGATGCTCGCTAAAGAAAGAGGCTTGATACTCGTAGCTCTGTCCAAGCTGGGCAGCTACGGCTTAGAGGTTTAGAGCCTTTAGGGAGTTTAGGGTTTGTGGGACCAAGGAGCGGATGGTTTGGGACACAAGCCAGGCTGCGTACATCTTTGCCGACCGCGAAGAAATACATCCAGGCTTTGGGATCCGGCCAGACCGCGATGAGTCCCACTACGCCCCCGACGAGGACCGAAAACATCGCGTAAGATTCCTCTCAATGTGGCACTCTCGAACAAAAGGTTGATACAATCCAACATCCGAAGAAGAAGCCCTCACACTTTGAGGCTCCGATTTCAGCTCCCTGAGGCACCAGCTCGAGGTCGGGAGGCTCCCAACAAAATTTCAGCAAGCTGAAAATGCCAGTTTGCTTTGAGGCGCTCCAGGATTCCGCAGCCTGCTCCACCTCATACCCCACGGGTCCCTACCCTGCATGTTTTCAGACTGGAACCCAAAACTGCAGAGTCTTGCCCGCAAGGAGACCTATGACTCTGACAGTGACTTAGAAGCATCGTCGGCAGACGAGGACTCGGATGGAGACGGCATGGCCTAGGTATTCTGGCATTCCGGACGGCCAAAGCTCGCCAGAGACCTTGAGGCAGCGTTTTGAATACCAGGAGTCACATGTGAGCAACCAGAAACTGCCTCAAGGCGAAGGGCGAGCATGTTCCTCTCCAGCGTCCGAAGTCCAAGATTTCGTTTCGGTGGAAGATCCCCTGCCATCCAACGCTGCATCCTGCAAAGACAGCACGAGGAATCTGCAAGCAGATTTTCGACCAGAGTCGACATTCGCAGCTTCGAATTCCTGGCACTTAATGTTCGAGATACTGTGGGTTCTTCCCGTGCAGCGTAGATAGGAGCCTGACATGCCGATGTACTCCCCTACTCCCCGGTAGTGCTTCTCGTTCGCGAGCCATTGGCCTCGACCGTTGCCTTCTCCCAGCAGGTCCTAGCATCAACCCGCCAAGGTCGCTTCGGGGTTTTTATGGGATTGCGACTAGAAACCGAATCTGCAGGAATCGTCGAACATTCGGGTTGCTGGAGGCAGGGAGCAAAGCCTGAGAGCTTCGGAAGCAAAAGAAGTCTCACCAAGGATTACCCGATTACCCTCTAACAAAACCAGCCTCCACGTCCGAATAACAAGACATAAAAGACACTGCGACGTCGAACACGGCTTGGGCTGAAAAAGCTGCTCGATATTGAGACTTACGAGCATGGTTGCGAAGCTCCCTAGGACTGCTCTGTTGCAACGACCAGCAAGCCTTTCAAGCTTCGAGAAAGTGCAGCATGGTTTCCGGCTCACCCAGTGGCAACACTCCAACACCCGGCCCCGATAGTTGAATCGAAGCTGCTTTCTACCTCATCCATGCGTAAAGTTCTTTAGGGGCCTGGGGCATCCAACAGTATGCGGTTGAAGAAGACGGAGCGAGTGATGAGCTTGTGTTTCTCAGGAAAATGATGCACGACGTGCAACATCGATCGTGCGTGCTCCTAGACCTCGAAACCCGCAGCATCTCGCAACCCTGCAGTTGTTGCTCTCACCGTGTGCAGCGGTGCGATGTTGCCAGGCCGTTTGGTCCACCGAGCACCTGCCGCCAGCTCGGCTGGACTTCCATGCTGAGCCAGTGCTAAGCATTCTTGGAGCCTCATTTCTCAAACTGTTCCTGCGAGCCCCTCCCGAGGCCCTGCATCAAGGAATTCGCAGGAATCATTGCCGCATGTGAAAGTCAACTAATGCAGACGGCATTTGCATCCAAGACACATGACTCACTGAGGACCTACTACTACTACAACGCGGACCGGCAGCATTCGCAGTGTCTTGCTCGCAGAGAAGTGAAGAGAGATTTACTCACTCGAGAGCCAGGTTGGGTTCAGCACTGCCCTGTAATCCAAAAGGAACCTGGACATGATGCCAAGGGCCTAGTAACTGGTAGCTGTCTCTTTCGCGGATATGGGAGTTTCCGAAAACAAGGGGTACCTTATTTTGGGGTCCTTATAACAAGGATCCTACTATTTAGGGTACTATATTAAGGCCCCCTATTTTCGGAAACCCCCATATACGCTGGAAATCGCCCTCTTCGCCCCACGCCACGACGAAGGTTTGCCGCAGGGCTCAAACCCCGGGTCCCCGCTGCATGGTCATTAAGAGTTGCTGTTGGTAGCAGTGCACGCCCCCCAATCGCAAAATATTTTCTCAACTATCATACCATCAACTTTCTACCACCTTTTTCCACCCTTTCAGACCTCATCGCATCTTCGACCAACCAAGCAATCAACCGACCATGTGCCCACAGGCATCCAAATCTTCAGCATCCCTCCCCCCCTACACTTTCACCCCATTTCTCAACCCGCCTACTAAATCAACCCTTCCAAAACCACAATACACAAGCACCTCCCAAATCCCATGCCAAAATCCCAAATCCAATCCAAAACACCCCTCCCAAATCCCACGCCGAAATCCCAAATACAATCCAAACCAAAGCCACCTCCAGATGTTGCAAAACCAATCAAGCGCATTAGCAGTCAAAAGATCTTGGAGAAGTTAGAACTCTTTATGAATAAGCCTCAACAAGTGTAAAAAAGCCAACGGATAAAGACAGCGATGCTTATAAGAATAAGAGAAGCATATATGTTAATAAACTGAATAGCAAGGATATTAAGTTTCCAAAGAAAGAGTAATCAGAATATTATGAGATTACATTTGACGACCAAGAGAGAGCCATTTAAAGAACTACTACGTAATATAATGGTTATATAATATGTTTAGTCATGAGGAACAGGAGGAAATCATTAATGAGTTCTTAACTGCTTGTAGAGAAGAGCGAGAACAAGAAGAGCAAAAGGAGGACTTTAAAACAGTTTATAAGAGGTAAAATATAGGAGCTGGAAATTATTGATTGCAGGAATGCCAAAGAAATAGAAACCAAGCCTATGTCAAATTAAAAACGCATTGATGAAATATTACAGTAAAAGTAATGCAAAAGATATTGATATGTATAAATATCGTCGTAATAAAATGGTAGAAACATTATGACTATATATTAATACAAGTTCATAAGAAAGGAAATAGATTAATGTGTTGTAGTAAAGAAAGCTTGGAACAAACAGCTTTTAATAAAATGGAAACAGCGGACAACTATTGAATATCTTGGCATTGTTGATAGATACTTAGCGTTTTACTAATTAACATTTGGAAAAATTGTGTTTTGCAAAAAGCATATGTTACAAAAACATCTAAAGAATTGAGAATATATGTATTAATGGCAGAAGCATCCGGATATACAAACAAACAGGAAATAACTAAAGTCAACAATGACCTGAACTTGATAAACTATAAAGTTGTGAATACATTAACCGACACTGTACTATATATTGAAAACTGTATGACGACGACTGATGTAAGGAATAGAAACCTACTTGTTGAAATTATAGACGGAAGAACAGTAGATATTATGAGACGAGGTGAAGAGAAGAAAGTAGAATAGAAAACAAAGAACCAAAGGGAATGGCAAAGCTTTATACAATAATGAATGGATAAGCATAGCGTAGCATTTTACTAGTCAATTTCAGTAAGATGCTATGTAGGAGACATCCCCCAGTTCAGGGTTATGGTCTTGTGGGTTTTTTCTATTAGGGTCTTACCCCACACCTCATTAGGATATTGGTTATTTTATGGATAAGGGTATTGTTTGGGCGCTTTTGTTTTTGGATGGTGTTATGGATTATTTGTTTTGGGAGACGCCGTGTGTATCATTCTAGTGTTTTGAAGGGTTGATGTGTTAGGCGTGTTGAGAAATGGGGTGACAGCATAGGGTGGGTTTTGGATATGAGGTGTGGGGTTAGCACTTGCTTGCTGTTACGCCGCCCAAATCGCATCATTTTCCCCTACCAAACTCAGCAGATGACACCAACCGTTTGCGAAGCGCATCCCGCAAGCACTGTTTCACAACAGGTTCCATCAAATCCCGCCGACCTGCCCCCCAGCACCAACCATTGAGGGCTGTAGGCTTGCTGGTTGAGAAATGGGATACTGACGACTTGGACGGGGTGCGGAGGGGGGGAATGAAGTAGCACGAAAAAAAGATATGAGTTGGTGTGTGTGTGTGGGGATCGCGGGGTATATGTCGCGCCACAAGAACACAGGAATAGGCAAGAATCACTCCAACTGAAGCTGCAGGGGGCAATCCTTGAAGGACCGGCATGAGTATCTTGGTTATGCGTTCCATGTCCAGTCAGCTGCAGGTGGGAGTGGCCGCTGGAGGCGCGATGTGATTTTGGGCTGTCGGACTGTCGGCTGTTGAATGCAGTTGAGGCTCCACCAGACCACGAAACGCAGCACGACATGCCCGGCTGCGTCCACCCATTTTGCATTCCGGCAGGGAAAGCCGGCTGACATGACCGATGCTCTCCTCCAGACAGTGGTCAAGGAGGCTGGGCTTGGGCCATTGGGGCCAGGGCTCAGAGGTGCCAGCCAATACCGACTCCCTCAAAACGCTAGGGTCTTTGGATCTCCAGTATCCAACTCGACATGCGCACCTTCTGTCAGATCAAGAGTGCAGCTGGCTGCACGGAATACAAGGCCAAAGTCAAGCTCGGCACCCGGCATTCCAGTTGAAAATGTGGCGAAAGCACTTCCCTCCAAGTCTCCGAGCTTGAGCCCGGTGGTGGAAACTAGGGCCCGTGCAAACAACCAAGGCTCATGGAGGCTAATTTCTCGCAGCGCGGCGCATTGACGCGGTGCCGGCACGATTTCGGCACCCGGCTTTAGGGCTGAGCTGCACCCCTACAACTAAAGCATGATTCATGATTTGCTCACCCACACCAGTCATGTGCGCACAGATGTTGTGTAGGCCTTTCGTCCTCATGTCCAAGGTTGTGCTTGCCGATGCCTGGGTTGTGTCCATCCCCATTCGATGCCCGCACGGTTTTGCATTTGAGCCCGGGCTTCCGTGCATAGCGGCTCCCGCCAGGCTCATCTCCCACGAGCAGCGCATGATGGAGCAGGAGATGAGAGGTAGTAGGTGGGATCTCTGGAGGTGCACCTTCATTTCCGGATTTCTGAGCTGAGGAACATACCATCTCTGACTGGATGACCCAATGCCTCTGTCCGCCACAATGATTGTGTCTATAGGACCGTAACTAGTAACTCCCTCGGTGTCAACTTGGTGTCTGCCTACTACCCTGAGCAGTAAACTGGGTTTTCCCAGCGACATGGAGACAAAAAGCCGGTCTGAGGAGGCCAACGAGCGTTTCGAGGAGCTCAAGCAAGGCGACGGTCTGCACCACATGCGGTTTCTTTGTGGCTTCCACCCAGGTCGCATGAAAGCATGGTACGGGTAGTAATGTTCCTAAGCGCGCTGCCCGGAGCTCAATATCAGGCCAGAACTTCGCAAGAGAGGGCATGATCGAATTATCTAACTCTTCGGGGCGTGATCTCGGAAAGATGATTCATTGGAACCTTTTGTGTGGGTTCCACCTTGCCCCTAGGGCCCTAGGGTGTCCGACGGCACTACATGGCCGCCAGGAAGATGCTAATAGGACCCAGGATCCGCCTGTAGCAACGGTTGGGCCCAGACCTGCTTAGAATGCGCTGCCCGTGCCTTTGTCATAGTTGGGTAACATTTTACATTTTTAAGGGTACTTAAACCCAATAAGGAATATACATTTTAAATTTTTCATACTACCCCAACCATGAACTAGGTGCTGGTTGCCGTGACCCAACACTTCTCCCAACATGAAGCCTCGGACCTTTCGCAGTCTTGACGCAGGCTTGAAGCAAATGCATCAGCAGCAGGCCAGCGCACATGTATCTGTGGGCATCATATGCTGCTTCCGGCCGTAAGGGTGAGTTTTGCCGAGCGCATGGAGCACGAGCTGTTGCAGCTGCGTTACAGTAATCATTAGAGGCCTTCGACTGAATTGCCTGCTTGAGACATGGATGCAGTTGCAAGTGGACAACTTCCTGGAAGACTTGGAGTACGTCAGCTCCACAGGAGTGTTTCACAGAGAGAGGTTTCCTCAGCAAGGGCAGCTGACCGACGAGTGAAGGCAGGGCGACCTGTGTGCAGATTCAGTGGAGGTACTGCGAAGCTTTGTAGAATATGCAAACATCAGCATTTAACAGCAATCGTTTCAGCAGGCGTTCTGAGCATGATCGTGCAGTGGCCCTCGGCCGCAAACCGAGAGCCTGAGTCCCAGTGACCGGCGGCAGCTCAGGTCTGCTGCGAAAGCTTTGTTTGCCACGAGGATCCCGGGAATTGATTTGCGGCTCTAGGACTCAGCCTTTGACACTTGCTAGTTGGATGCGGGGTGAGTTTGTGCGAGTCCAGACTGACTTCAGTAGTGTGAGTTGTTGGTCGCACGAGTATGTTCAGACGGACGATTGGCTGGGCGCTGGTCTGGAGAGAGGGCTGGTAGAAGAACTGCTGTCGATTTCGGTCGTTCTGAGCATACAACACGACATGCAGCAGATATGTGATTTTCTCAAGTGGTATGAAGCCATATGTGTCGCGCCGACACCGTATTCGTAATTGTTAGTTGCATTGAAGGCATACCAAACTCAGCTGCTCCTGTGACGGTAGGGCAGCAAGGAGCATAGAAGGCGATCCTTCAGTGCTGGCATCCTCGACGACTCTCGCCAAGTAGCCTGAGAAGACCTCTCCCAACCCTTCACTGTAGCGGCAGTGTAACTGCAAGACTTGGAACCAACGAAGCAAAACGCCGAACCGACCAGGAGGAGATATGCTTGAGAGTGCTCAAGGGGGAGCGGTTGAAGCTCTACTACCAGGATCCGCTGGAGGCCGTGCGTTGCTTGAGGGAAAGTCCGCGGTCATCTCTTTTTGGTAAACAGATCCTGACGACTGACGCACGAGTTTGTAAGCCACAGAAGCTTTCGAGAGTCTCGTTCAGTATACAACCCGTGCAAGAAAGTGTGCCCTTTCCTCCGGGATGGGGGTCGCAACTCATAGGCCTCGACAAGAACGGTTCCGGAAAGTTAAAGTTCTGGACAGGTAGTTGATAACAAACGATACCATGGACCTTGGAAAGTCCTGGGTTCAACAACGGCTGAAAGCACGCCCATCTGCTAAAGGATTGTTGCACTTGCGAGCAGTGACTATGCAATGGCCAAATGCACCTTCACAGGGCATGCAGACATTGTCCCTGATTTCTTTTACCCCGAAGCCCCGCAGTCGGACTACCTGGAGCATGCCAGACGCTCAGGATCGAAAGGCAGAGACAGAAGGATGCCCCTGGTAGCCAGATCTGGATCCGTTGAAACAAGCAGGCTCAAGCATAAGGCAATCGCGAAGGCCCCGTGAGGATCAATATTGCACAAACCTGCATACGGCAGTGTCTTGTTGGCCCGTGCGCTAGCCATAACGGATGTCACCATGGACCTCCGCGCTGGTTCAGTACACGCACCGAGGCCGGCGAAGGGTGGGCCTACGTCGGCTTCAAAGCACTTCAGCTTGGTTCAGCTAGGAGAGCGCATGCGTGCGCCTCCCATCTTTGGGCCAAGGACAACGAGCATACTCACGGATGGATACCTCAGGCGCGGCTGGACTTGTGATTCCACAGCGACATCAGATGGCAATTCTGCGACGTTGAGCGGAACTGTCGTTTTTGTTTTTAAGGGCACCTGCTCGCATCATGGACAGCTAAATCACAGGACCCGAGAGTCCTCAAGCCGCACGATTCGACATTAAAGCCGGAGCATTTTGCAGTCCGAACATTCTTGACCGCCTGCCAGGAGTGCATGCAGGCAAGGGTCCTGGAACAGGACAGGGATGTCGGACCTTGTGTATCGGATGCCCTTAGGCGTCTCTGCGGTAAGTGGCGTCCAGGATAGTCTGGAGTGTGAGGCCGAGGTGTCGGGCTCTATAGTATAGGCTTCATGGGTTCACGTTGTGATGTTCTCTCTGAGTGCAGCGTAGAGAGCTCAGTGTGCAGGCAAGACTGCTGCAGCTACAGTAGCTGCTGATCGTTTCTTTGCAAGTTCGAAGTCCATGTCGTCCAAGGTGGCGGTGAGGTCGCCTAAGAAAAGGGTGCAGTGGCAGAAACTCGGCCCGCAGACGGGGGAATGTTTCCTGCCTGCGTTTGGGCTTGTCCAAACTGCTGAGCACTTCCAAGGAGATACAAAGTGAGAGAGAGCTGGTTCGCGCAGAAGCATCACGACATCGACGGGCATCCCGGGCTTATCAGGAGAAAGTTGTGCATCCGTGCATGGCCCAGGTTTAATTCTGTCTTCGCCGAGTCGTCGCATAGAAAAAGTCCATGGAACCGACAAGCCATAAGCGAAGGTCGATCGAACTACTAGTTTATTCAATTGCGTTCAAAACCCCAAGAAAAAGGACGAGTCTGAGGTATCTCCGTGTGAACAAAGGGGACACCATCGAAATGCTGGAGACCGTGGAAGCAGAGCATCCGGCATGTTTAGGTCTTCGCTACTAATGCATCCTCGGTGGGAATTCACGCTTGGTAGTGCGCAGTTATCGTCCTAGTTCCACAGCTATGATGAACGATGAGGACAGCACTCCTGGTCACTGCTGCGGCTCGCCCGCTGCAATGTGCATCGGAAGACAGTGCATCAAAGCCGCTATCGCATTAAGTTAAGTCATCCATGCACGACGTCCCGAATTGCCAGGGCGCCTGTTCTTGGGCCGGGACCTGAGACGCTGGTGATGTACGATGCTGGGAAGGTAAGCCTGTCATCATTGTGCCACTGTGCTGTCAGCAGTCGTTGCATGGCCACTGGTGGCACATCATCACTCAAAGAAGCCAGCTACTTGTACTTACCAACTACCGCTGCTGCTATTCGACAACTAGCGAGTATGCGTTCATGCCTTGCTGATGGTCTACAAAGGTTATTCAAGGAGACGGGTTTGGCCGTTTACTTCACATGCCGCATTGCACCACGATAAAGCGAAACAGTACTCCAGGAAGAGACACTTGAAGTCTTTTCGCCAGGGTGTGGATCCCTCAACAGAGCAGCTTTGGCCAGCCTGCCAGGCAATAAACTACATGTGCACACTGTGGACTCCGAGTTCAAAACCCAAAATCCTCGCATTTGGGCGGCACGCAGTGGCACCAAAGAAAAGGTGTATTGCTACGAGACCGAGAGCCGCGTGGCGGGCGAGATCCCTGAGTCAAGGGCTCAGCGAAAGTTGGTTTTGACCTTGCCTTTCGGCTGAAGTTGAAGCAGCTAGAGTCTCTAGAGCTTCAAGATGAAGCCCTGGACCCCTATAGGGCCCAGGAGCCTGGACCTGAAGTTTCGATCTTCGCCCTCGCCGCCAAGGCATTGCTTGGAGTGATGCGCTCAGGGCGACCTTCCAGCCGCCAAGCGCGGAGCCTGAAACTTCAACTGCCTGGGGCTTGGTGGGGAATGGGGGAATGGGCTATAGGGACTACTATAAGGGACCTTAAGGGACTATCATAGGGATCCATTCCCCCCATTCCCTACTAAGCACCAGACAGTCAAGTCTCTGCTCAGGGAGGGCTGTGAGCCTGGCTGCAGGGCTCCAAATTTGAGCCTGAACCGAGCCTGAGCCGAGTGAAAAACTGAAAGCGGTGTTCGTCAGATTCAGAGGGGCTGTGAAAGGAACAGTTGGCTTCTTCTTAGCGCCGTTTGTCGACCGTGCCTGGGTCGGGGAGTTGAGCTTGGCTTGAGCTCGAGCTTCGGAGCAGGACTGAAGGCAAGAAAGCGGTGTCTTTGTCCGTCTCCCCTGGGCTCAATAGCAAGTCAAAGGGTTTAGAATCTAGTGTACCGCCTGGCGTCCAAGTCTTTTGCTACTGACGTGCAAAAAGCCTGCGCGCCATGGATGCCATGAGCAAGAAGCCAAGAAGCCAGCGCGAGGTTTGTAGGCCTGAGCTGGCCAGGAGCAACACAAAGCCTGCCGCTGCAGAGAAGCCTGAAATCAACAGTCGTAAGTAAAAGCTTACTATGACTAAACTCTCTCCTGTGATCTTCGGCTGCCATGGCACTCGAGCTGGATGAGGTACGGTCCAAGCCACTGCTGGAGTGGCATGGCTTCGATCGGTGCGTGCTCGATTGATCCTTGTACTAGGTGCGGACTTGGCATTCATGATCTTCCATTATCAAAGCCACCTGCAGCAGGGTGCCAATGCCACCCCGACTCCCTGACAATCGTGAAGAGCAATGCTGCAAGGCGAAGATTCCCAACGCAGAAAAACTTGACAGCCCCACGTGATGCACCGAGATCTCCGCACTTTGTCAAAGGCCTGGCGGCTCGGAACCGCCGCGGCAGCCCACTGCCAAGGATTGGGGGTCTGAAGAAGTGTTCACGTATATTGAAGATGCCGAATATGCCTTTGTCGTCCCTATGGCAGCTATGGAGCTGTATTGCCCCATAATCCTGTTCTAGAAGATAGCCCCGTTATTGACTTCCTTGATGCCGTGTCCATGCACCCGGGCTTGCGACTGTTGCTTTGAAAAGCGACGAGACGGTGCGTAGCCTTTTCTGTCCACATGAGGACAGCCAGCATGGCGCTGTCGAGCAGGAGTCGAGGAGCCTATGGCATAGGGTCACTGCAGTCAAGCACTATGTTCCCACCAGCTGTTTTGCGCTCAACGCACCTGAAGGTTTGAAAGGGGGAATGCTGGAGGTTGAGAACACTTGCCCAAACCAGCGGTTCTTGAGCGTTGTGACCCCAGGCCCTAGAAGTTGAATTTCGACTGGCCAGCACACGCAATGCTGGCGGACCTTTGCGTGCCCACCATTGCTGGTTTTGCAATGACTTCAATCGGACCAGTGGCTGCCATGTCCCTTCAGTAACTTCAGTCTCGGTATAACTGAACTGCATGTAAAGTCGAATGACGATATCATATGCTCTTAGGCGAAACCCGAAACCCTCCGAAGAAGGACCTCCGAGCAGCCTGCCTTGGTTTCCGCCCCGAGCGCCACATCCTGCATCCCTCGCATGGCCGGCGAGGCATTCTCAGCTGCTGGGTGTGCCCTTCATAACACATCGATGCCTTTGTCTATCCATGTTATATATACACATACAGTAGGTCCATATTTGCAGTTGTTCAATTGGAATAACGTTTGCTAGCCTGCCTGCTAGATGGCTAGTTTTATTCATGCAACTGCTTGTTTCCAACATTACAACAGGTTACACATATTTGTGTACTTACGGACGGCTATTCATGTACTGGTTTGCTGATTCACTGATGACGTCTCCTTGCTTGAGTACTGTTGCTAATACTAGTGATCCGCTAGTGAGCGAGTGTTTTGATCTGGCAGTCCGAAGGAGACTTCTAGGAATCGCACAAAACTCGTGAAGCTGCGTCGGTTTTCTTGCGGAAGGTTAGTTCGATGATGAGAGCTGCTTCATCTTCCGATCCGCTCTTGTGAGCTAAGTTTGCGTAGATTCAATGATTGATTCATCCTTGTTGCCGTGGTGCTTGAAAGCAGCAGGACACCGGGTCCACGCCAGATGGCGGCCCATTGCGAGTGACTCATGTGAAGGTCCGGGCCTCGAAAGAATTGAGTTGCAGGCTTTGGCACAAAGGGTCAGAAGTCTGGCGCGCATCAACGGGTTTTATATAGGCCATTGCAGAAGCAGCGGATTATTCTGGCAGAACCCTCATGTCAAAGATGAGGTCGAGGGGAAAACCACCGTGCAGCGCATAGAGCTGACTTACAGCGACGGCTCTTTGTGGCCGAGCGGCATTTCAAGTCTCTTGTTATCTGATTCTGTAGAGGAGCGCTTCCCCGACCCGAACTGGTAGTTGAAAACATCATGCAGATGCTGCCGAATGGCCGTAGGAAGCGATGCACTCCTGTCGCCGCTCTCCTAGTTCTTGAGGTGGGCCATGGGTCCGCCCCTGGCTGGCGGCAAGAAGCAGGTGAAGAACAAGAGGACACCCGGCCATGCACGCTGCAAGCCGGGGTTTTGGAGACTCAGGGACGAATGTCGGGCCACGTCAGGCGCGTGCGCAGGCACGATCGCCTTACGTCTCAACCTAGCATCTACATGTGGCACAGCGCCAGGGCAAGTCGCAGGTTTGGGGTTTGCCAATTCACCTCACCTTGAAGAAAAAGAGCCGAAAGCTTCCTTTTCGGAGGAAGATGGACGATGGTGTGAAGATCATGGTTCCCGGGATGCAGAGAGTCGAGCGCTTTCTCGGGCTTTAATAAGGGCTTTCGAGGTTCCTCCAGGAGATCTGCCGAGACCTCGCAGAGCCGGGACCTGTGCACCTGAAGCCAAGCTCCCTGAGACACGTCACCGCACCACTCCCGAGTGCTTCCAAGGTCTTGAGCGACGACGAGACCTGGCGATGAAGATGGGGAAGCCAGTAGCTTTCATGATTGCCATGTGCTCGCATGGGACAGAGAGGTGGAGACAGAGACGCAGGGATGCAGGCAGAGAGAGAGAGAGAGGGCAAGGAGATCCCCTGGCCACAGCCCTGGCGAAAGGAAAGAGCACGGAGACAGATAAAGATAGAAACAGAGCAGGATTGCCTGGCTGCAGCTTGGTCGGTATACTGGGCCGGGAGAGTGGGGAAGAGAGAGAGAGAGAGCGAGAGACAGACCTGGAACGCCAGTGCGAGTGCGCGCGCAGGGGGGGCAGGGGTCCGCCGCTCTCCTTCGGCTGTGTAGAAGAAGAGCGAGAGCGAGAGAGAGAGAGAGAGAGAGAGAGAGAGAGAGAGAGGCCTTGCCTTGGCGGAGTGAGCCAAATTCACCATGCGCGCCACAACAGTCGGGGGCGCTGACGCGCGCGGTGGAGGGGGACTACCCCTTCACCATAGCTCTGGCGAAAGAAAGAGACAGACAAAAGCTGCGGAAAGAGGCTAGAACGAGAGAGAGAAGAACAAAAAACAACTTAGAAAGCAATCGGGTAAGTCTGGATGCGGCCACGCCCCGATCTCTAGCCGTGCAGCTGGGTGTAGGCCCTCGTTTGGGCACAGCAGTGCCGAGTTTTGCACAGGGTTCGGCAGTGCACCTTGCAAGTCTGCTTTTGTTGCCCTCATGCTGATGTGAAAAATTCTGCCGAGGAGTTCATCACCGTCACCTGGCTGACTGTCTTGTCGCTGCGAACCGTGCAGTTTGCTGAGCACGCTCGATGAACGTAAGAAGCACCAGCCCTGTTTCTTGAGACCTGTTGCCCGGGGATGATCGGATACGGGCTCTACTCAACCTTCGAAGGGTTGAGGAAACGAAGTTCGAGACGGTGGAAAAGTCTTCATGCGGTTGAGAGCCTCATGGCCCATCCAGTGCGGCCTCGCACACTTGCTATGCTGACAGTGCGCCCCATATCGAGAGTCCTCGTGCCGCAGTCAAATCGAGACATCAATGCCGTGGGAAGTGACGAAAGCTCGAACGGGTCAGTGTTTCGTGCTTCGCGTTTTGCATGGAGTCATTCGTTTGTGTAGGCCTACAGGGCCTATAAGCAGGGCTTCCTTGGGCATTCGTTGCTTCAGCTTCCTTGGA